CTTTGATATTATATATACTACATAGGTACTACAGGTAGACCTTCCTCAGATTTGTTCATTTCGTGATGATTTTGTTCTTCAATTATCTAATTTTAATGATTATTTTTGATAAAAAGTTATATTTTCAAATTTTTTTTGAAAACAGCAAGTCTGATTACTTTAATACTATACATATTGTTCATTTTCTGATGATATCTTCTGTTCTTTAATTGAAATGTGCATTTCAGGCTGCTAGTCTTTTTTGTAGCAGCCACAAAAACCATTGCACCAGTTTTGAAAAAGGCAATCTGACAACCTGATTTTTTTAGCTCCACTGTCGACTTTGTCGAGGGAAGCTTGTCATATGAGTGATTGTCTGTCGTCATTCGTGTTAATGTTTTACTTTTTCGACTTCTTCTTGAAAACTATAATCCTGAATGCTTTGATACTTGGTGTATATGTACCTTGGGTAGACCTCTCTTGGATTTGTTCATTTCATGATGATATCTTCAATTCTCTAATTTTGGTGAATATTTTTGTCATTTTTGGTAAAAAGTGATATTTTTGACTTCTTGTTAAAAACCGCAAGTGCAATTGCTTTGATATTACATATATAGGTACTACATGTGGACCTCTCTCAGATTTGTTCATTTCGTGATGATATCTTTAATTCTTTAATTTTGATGAATATTTTTGTCATTGTTTGTAAAAAGTGATATTTTCGACTTCTTGTTAAAAACAGCAAGTCCAATTGCTTTGATATTACATATATAGGTACTACATGTGGACCTCTCTCAGATTTGTTCATTTTGTAATGATATCTTTAATTCTCTAATTTTGGTGATTATTTTTGTCATTTTGGTAAAAAGTTATATTTTCGACTTCTTGTTAAAAACCGCAAGTCCAATTGCTTTGATATTACATATATAGGTACTACATGTGTATCTCTCTCAGATTTGTTCATTTTGTAATGATATCTTCAATTCACTAATTTTAGTGAATATTTTTGTAATTTTCAGTAAATAGTGATATTTTCAACTTCTTGTTTAAAACTGCAAGTCCGATTACTTTGATATTACATATATAAGTACTACATATGGACCTTTCTCAGATTTGTTAATTTCGTGGTGATATCTTCAATTATCTAATTTTGATGATTATTTTTGTCATTTTTGGTGAAAAGTGATATTTTTGAATTCTTGTTGAAAACAGCAAGTCCCATTGCATTGATACTATACATATTGTTCATTTTCTAATGATATCTTCTGTTCTTTAATTGAAATGTGCATTGCTAACAGTGGAGCTATCTCAGCCGAGAGGCTGCTTGTTGAGTTATCAAATTAAATTCAAATCGATAAACAACTGTGTTGTTTTTGTTTGATTTTATTATTTTCTGGTTTTTCAAATAACATGTCAGTTGGAGTTTATGGCAGAATTATTATAAACTGTCAAAGCCATTCTCCTCTAACTGTTGTTGTTTAATATTCTTGTCTGGTAATCTCCAGATAAATCTGTGAAGCATTATCTGCAAAGCAAATAGTCAGTGGAAGTCACAATAACAATAGCATCTATGAAAGCTCACTTTCCTTTTTTAGCATCCTTGTATGACCTCAGCCCATCACCCATTGTTAGTGTTAGGGTTGTTATTTCTACATGTACAGAATTGGAACAGCACGTTCATCATGAAGAGTATATGTTGCATAATGTCTACCAGATGAGTGATATTTGTTATTTTTGATACAGGACTTGTTACTGCCGACATCCAATCACTGGGAAGCTGGTTCAATGAGTTTA